ATATATGCAAATACATATATATATGTATATACAAATACATATATATATGTATATACATATACATATGCTTATATATATATATATATATATATTTACATATAACCTGTGTCTATAACAATATTACTTAAATGAATACATTAAACAGCATATTATGATAATAATATTTATAATTATATAATTATATCAAATATAATTACTCTGCAAATACCGCAAAACCGTTCGTACATTTATATAAAAAACAAATATATATATATATATATATATAAACATACATATAAAATATATATATATATATATGTATATAGATATATATATATATATATATCTATATATCTATACAATATATATATACAGTTTATATATATTATTTATTTATTTATTTATTTATTTAGGTGTATATGCAGCTGTTGCTTTTCTTTTTGTTTTTGTTTTAATTTTTCTTCTGCGTTTTATTTGCTGCTACGTGCAGACAGACACAGAAGATGTAAATAAATAAAAATATAATTATAAGTATAATTATAAATATAATTGCGTAAATAATAAACTTTATCTCTGTACAAGCCCTCCCGCTGGATATACAGCCCGCTGCAGACGGCTTTAAATCAGTTCGCCTTAGCTGCTGCAATTATTGCTGCTGCTGCTGCTACTGCTGCTGCAGCAGCAGCAGTAGCTGTGCCGCTGCTGCTGCGGCAGCTGCTGCAGCAGCAAAACAGATTGAAGGCCTGAGGGAAATGTGAAGTGAGCGGGAGCAGCAGCAGCAGCAGCAGCAGCAGCAGCAGGCACGAGCCTCAGTCTTCAGAAGACGGCGCATATAAACAACTGCTGCTGCTGCTGCTGCTGCTGCTGCTGCTGCTTCTGTGTGCTGTTGCTGCAGCTGCCAATACAAAAAGAGACAGTAGCAATTCTGCTTCGCTAACTGCGCACGCTGCTGCTGTTGCTACTGCTATTGCTCCTGCTGCTGCTGTTGCTGCTGCTGCAGCTGCTGTTGCTGCTGCAGCCGTTGCTGCTGCAGCTGTCGCTGCTGCTGCTGCTGCTGGCTCGGGCCTACGATGTGGATGGGTAATAATATTATGAATTGCTGCGAAGCAACAAAAGAGAATAAAGAAAAAGCTGCAGTAGACTGACCCCAAACACTGCCGGCCGCAAGAAGCCTGCATGGCTCCTAAACCCTAAACCCTAAACCCTAAACCCTAAACCCTAAACCCTAAACCCTAAACCTCGAGCACTGTACATAAACCCTCCAGCGGAAACACCGTAAGGGGGGTTTCTGCGCTCTCTTTGGTGGATTCGCTTGCAGCAGCATTACTGTGTTGCTGCAGCAGCAACAGCAGCAGCTGCTGCTGCTGTTGTTGCAGCTGCTGCAACAGCAGCAGCAGGTGGTGGAGCGGCCCTGACGCCTGAGAAGAGATCGCCGAGCTTCGCTTCCTGCAGTTGCTGCTGCAGTTGCTGCTGCTGCTGCAGTTGCTGCTGCAGTTGCTGCTGCTGCAGCAGCAGCAGCAGCAAAGGTCACGCACCCAAAATGCTGCGAGCAGACGACTGCGTGTTCAGCGACTGTGGGGCCCCTGTAAGGGTTTGCTGCTGCTGCAGCCCATCTCCATTAGAGACGTTGGTGTTGCTGCTTTGCCGTTGCTGCTGCTGCTGCTGACTGAGGGATTCTCCTGAGAGAGTCTGACGAAGCGACTGCTGCGTAGCAACAGCTTGCTGCTGCTGGTCAGCAGGTGCAGCAGCAGCAGCAGCAGCAGCATCACGAGTATCTGTTTGCTGCTGCTGCAGGTCTCTACTACCAGTATTTTTAGCAGCATCTGCATTCCCAGCAGCAGCAGCATCTCCTCCTCCCCCAGCACCCGCAGCAGCAGCAGCAGCAGCAGCATCTCCTCCTCCCGTCCCCGTCCCCGTCCCCGCCCCAGCAGCAGCAGCAGCAGGAGCAGCAGCAGCAGGAGCAGCAGCAGCAGGATCTTGATCGTCAATCCAAGCAATGCGCCTGCCAGCCTCCCAAATGCCTTTCTTTTGTTCGCCGTTGCGAGCAGTGAAGACCCCTATACCGTGCTGCTTGCCCTGCTTCCAGTTGCCTCTGAAGGCCCTGCCGTCAACCCACAGAAAAGATCCTTCACCGTCCTTCTTGTCGTCTTTATATTCACCCCGATACTGTCTACCGTCCGGCCAGGTGAATACACCCCGACCGTGCATGCGATTAGCCCGCCACTGTCCTTTATAAGAACGTCCATCTATCCACAGATACTCTCCTTCACCTTCGATCTCATTTTGTTTAAACTGTCCTGCATATCTTGATCCTTCACTCCATATAAATACACCGTATCCTTCTTTCTTACCCTGTATATACACCCCAGAGAAGTGTGAGCCGTCCGCCCAGCTCTCTTCAGCTTGACCGTGTTTCTTATCATCCTTCCACTGACCTTTATATTCGCTTCCGTCTGCATGTCTATACACCCCAAATCCGTTCGCTTTATCGCGGACCCATTCGCCGTCATAGTAGTCCCCGTCCGCATGTCTAAAGACACCCTTACCCTCCGCGAAGCCCTCGCACCACTCGCCTACGTACTTCGCGCCGTCGCTCCACTCCTGCACGCCGAAGCCGTGCTTCTTGCTGCCCTTCCATTGCCCTACGTATGTTACGCCGTTACCTAATGATATCAAAGGCCTGCTCACTACCTCTTCTTCTTCTCCTCCTGCTGGTTGGGCTGCTGATGCTGCTGGTTGTGCTGCTGCTGATGCTGATGCTTGTGCTGCTGTTGCTGAGGAGGAAGAAGAACGTAGCTGACCGGGAGACGAAGAAGAAGAGGTGCGAGAAGGTGCTGCTGCTCCTCCTGCTGTTGTTGCTGCTGCTGGTGCTGCTGCTGATTCACCAGAGAAGGACTGAGATCCTTCTCCTCCTGCTGCTGCTGCTCCTCCTGCTGCTGCTGCTTCTGAATGATCTTTGTTGTCGTCATCTAATACACCCGAATCCTGCTGCTGCGGTTTTTGTGCATCAGCAGCAGCCCCTATGCGGCTGCCGCTGCTACGGAGGCTCTCCTTCTGCTGCTGCTGCTCCTGCTGCTGCTGCTGCTGCTGCCCCTCTTCCTCTTCCTTCTCTGCAGCAGCAGCAACTCCACCAGAAGCTAACCCTTTAGGGTTAGACGAAGTCTCAGGGCGCTTAGCAAGCGCTTTACTCTTGCAAGCCCCCATCCTGCTGCTGCTGCTGCTGCTGCTGCTGTTGCTCCTGCGGGTGCTGTTGCTGCTGCTGCTGTTGCTCCTGCGGGTGCTGTTGCTGCTGCTGCCCGAGCTAGAGCTGCTTCTCAACCCAACTCTCTCTCTCACTTTCTCCCTACAGCAGCAACGCTGTTGCTGCTGCTGTTTCTGCTACTGTTGCTGCTGCTGCTGCTGCTGAGGTGCAGCAAACGACGCGCTGCTGCAGCGTCCTTCAAGCGGGAGAAAAGGCAGCAGCAAAAATGCAGAGGGATGCAGAACAACCCTCTATACTGTACGGGGCTGCTGCTGCTGCTGTTGCTGCTGCTGCTGCTGCTGAGATCCGCGGGCCCGTGGCCGCAGCAGCAGCTGCTGCTGCTGCAATTAGAACCGAGAATATATAAACGGTGGGTTAGAGAAGAGGGTTTAGGAAAGACATTGTGTCGCGCTGCTGCTGATGCTGTTGCTGTTGCTGCTGCTGCTGCTGGGGTTCGTCGGTAGCTGCTGCTGGAGCAGCTGCTGCAGCAGCCTGGGCGCAGGAAAGACAGAAAGCTGCTGCTGCTGCTGCTGCTGCTGCTGCTACACCAGAGACACGCTGATAATCCTTGCAAACGATAAAACAAAAAGACAGTCTACACATGCTGCAGCATCTGCTGTTGCTGCTCTTGCTGCACCGCTGTTGCGCCGCAGCAGCAGCCGCTGCTGCTTAGTGCGCTGTTGCTGCCCTGCTGCTGATGCTGCTGCTGCTGCTGCTCCTCCTCCTCTCTTCCTGCTGCTATCCGCAGCAGCAGCTCAACAAAATAAAACCCTAAATGCATAAAAGAGATTTATTTCTATTATATCTGTTATGGAAGAAGACACCCAGAGAATATCGGTACGGGATCGCAGCAGCAGCCGCAGCAGCAGCAGCAGCAGCAGCAGCAGCAGCAGCAACAGCAGCAGCAGCAGCAGCAGCTCGAACGCTTCTCCAGCAGCAGCAAGGAAGCCGCCACCCCAAAAAGTTTCTTTCTTCTTTCTGATTTAGTTAGTTAATAAAAGCAAATAAATAGCCTCCATATAGAACTACGAAAGGGCTTTTGCTGCTGCAGCAACTCCTGCTGCCGCTGCTGCTGCTGCTGCTTCTAGTGCTCCCTCAGGTGTGGGAGGGACCGGCAGCAGCAGCAGCCGCTGCAGCGCCTTGTTGCGCCGCGCGCTGCAGCAGCAAATATTTGCAGGCTACCAGTTGTAAGCAGCAGCCAATTTGATTCTGTGTTGCTGCAGCATAACAGCTGCAGCCGCAGCAGCAGCAGCGGCAGCAGCTGCAGCAGCAGCAGCGCGGCCGGGGGAGGGGGCCCTGCGTCGATCCAGTAGCAGGCACAAAGAGCGACAGCAGCAGCAGCAGCAGCAACAGCAGCAGCAGCAGCAGGCGTTGCTAACTCTGTATTCTCTGTTCCCTCCAAGGCCAAGCCCTCGCAGCAGCCGCAGCAGCAGCAGCAGCAGCAGCAGCAGCGCGAGCATCATCTTCAGCAGCAGGAGCAGCAGCTGGAGGCGGAGGAGTACCAACGGAACTAGTAGGAGGGTGCTGATTAGCAGCAGCAGAAGCAGCGGAAACGCCGCCTAAAGCAGCAGCAGCAGCAGTAGCAGGAGCCACAAGAGCAGCAACAACAGCAGCAACAGCAGCAACAGCAACAGCAGCAGCAGCAGCAGCAGCTCGTGCGTTGGACATGGCTCTTCTGGCGGTGTGTTGTAGACCCGTAATGTGATGATGGCTTGTGTTGTGTTGCTGCTGCAGCTGCTGCTGGTGCTGCTGCTGCTGCAGCAGCAGCCGCTGCATGCATCAGCGGACTCTCACCAGTTGCCTTCTGCTCCGCTTCGCTCGGAAAGGCAGCAGCCTGGCAGCAATGAAGGTTTGCTGCAAGGCAGCAACAGCAGGAGCAGCAACAGCAGGAGCAGCACCAACAGCAGCAGCAGCCACAGCAGCAGCAGCAGCAGCAGCAGCAGTCGGCGACGAGGCTTGCGCACTACCGGGAAGCCGCATACGAGGAATGGGATAAGAGGGGGTTTGCCTCACAGAGTAGGGGGCCCCCATAGAGGAGGTATATCTAAGGTGCAGCAAGGGTCTGGTGGGTCAAGCAGCAGCAGCAGCACAGCAGCAGCAGCAGCAGCAGCAGCAGCAGCAGCAGCAGATGCAGACGTTGAGGCCCAGCTGGGGAAGGTGCTTGCTCAATTTCCTGTTGTTTGGTCTACCTCCTGGAGGCCTGTCGTTCTTGCTGCAGTAGGCAGCAGCCTTCCGTCTCGTGAAGCAGCATATAGAGATGTTTGTGCTGCAGTTGATAAATATTGCATGCAGCAGCTAGAGGGGGGAGGCCTAGGTGCGCTTGCTGCAGCAAGAGACGCACTTGCTGCTGCAGCTAGAAGCGTAAAGGACAGCTGCCGTATTATGCTGCTGCTAGAAGGAGACGGTGAGGGTGCTATTGTGCAGCAGCTAGCTGTTCCTGCTGCAGCAGCAACGCGGTACGATGACCCTATTGTACAAGCTCCTCCAAGCGCAAAGCAGCTGCAGCAGCAGCAGCAGCAGCGGCGACAACGCTTCTCTCTCCCTCCTCTAGACTTCTGGGGTCTACGACGAGATACTCAGAGGCAGCAGCGAACTGGCAGCAACTTCATGCTGCAGCCAGCAACTGCACCAGGCCCAGCCTTGCTGCTGCTGCAGCACCAACAACAGCAGCAGCAGCAGCAGCAGCAGCAGCAGCAGCAGCAGCAGCAGCAGCGCAGCTGGGTGGGGGGCCCGTGGAAGGGCCCCCTGGGCAGGACGCATAACTTGCTGCAGCAGCCTGGTGCTCCTTCCCTTCTCGCTCCGCAGGGCCCAAGGTAAAAGCAGCAGCAGCAGTAACTGCTGCTGCTGCTGCTACTGCTGCTGGTGCTTAGGCTGCTGAGGCTCTTGCTGCAGCACCGGCAGCAGCAGTAGCCGCGGCAACCCGAAATAGACACAAAGGCAGCAGCAGAGGCAGTAGTACTGCTCCGTGCTGCTGCTTCTGTGTGCTGCAGCTTCTGCTGCTAATGCAGCAGCATCTGTCGCTGCTGCAGCAACATATTCCGCTGCTGCAGCACCGTCTGCTGCTGCTCTAGCAATCAGGTGCTGCTGCAGCTCGAACCGTCACAGCAGCATTGTCTGCTGCTGCTTCAGCATGTGCTGGTGCTGCTGCAGCTTCAGGTGCTGCTGCTGCAGCTTTTGCTGCTGCTGCTGCTGCAGCAGCAGCAGCTTTTGCTGCTAAGATGTTCGAAGCAGCTGGGGGGTAGTCGTTTGTCGTTCGTTGGTTTATTAATTAACAGCTTCCTTTTTGATCTCTCCAGTATTTGCATGCACAGGGTATATTATTATAATAGCAGGAGTCTCACTCAACCGTTTGCTGCAGCAGCAGCAGCAGCAACAGCAGCAAAAGCCCCTGCAGCAGCAGCAGCAAAAAGTGCAGCTGCACCAGCAGCAGCGGCAGCAGCAAGAGCTGCAGCAGCAACAGTAAGAGCTGCTGCGCTAGCAACAGTAAGAGCTTCTGCAGCAGCAGTAGCCTTCACTGCTGCTGTTGCTGCTGCACCTCTTGTGGGGTTTGGGGTGTACATGCAGACTTCAGGTGTACGTGCAGCTGTGGAGGGTTTTTCGTTGTTATTATTATTTAATAGTTAAATACAAATAAACAGAGAAGGAGTATATTTATATTTGTGTCTACTATATACTAAGAGAGAGAAGCACTTGTAAACCCTAAACCCTAAACCCTAAACCCTAAGGAGGCCTGTTAAAACCTGAAGCCCTTGCCCCTAACCTCTAAACCCTAAACCCTGTTTGTTTGGAGATACTCTAAACCCTAAACCCTCATCGTTTTATTATTCTCTTCTTCAAACCCTAAACCCTAATTGTTTAGAGGCCCTCTTCTCTAAACCCTAAAACCTGATTGTTTAGATTCTTCTTCTCTAAACCCTAAACCCTAATTAATCATTTAGGGCCCCTCTTCTCTAAACCCTAGAGCTTTTGAGGTGGGTTGTCTGCGCCTACTTCATGTCGCTTAGTGTCTACGGCTTGCTTAGGGTTCAGGGTTTAGGGTTTAGGGTTTGCATTTCCATGCATGCATGCAATTGTATTAACAACATGCCTGCATGCATGCATGCGTGCATGCATTTAATTATTTAATTAATTAATTAGTTATTTATTTATTCAAACACGCATGCATGCATGCATGCATGCATGCATGCATGGAGATGTGTATGCATATAAATAAGTTAATGTTATAACGGCATACATATTTTAGTGTTTTGTTTGCTTTTTAAACAGAATAATAGACTAATAATAACAATAAAATAATAAAATAATAATAAAATAATAAAATATTAGTAATATAAAGTATTAATAAAATAGTAAACTAATAATAATGATAATAAAATAATAAAATAATAATAAAAGAATAGTAATAAAGTATTAATAAAATAATACTTTATTACTATTCTTTCTTTACTATTCTTCTTATTAATTATAAATAAAATAAAATAATAATTATATTTATTAATAATAATAAAATAATAATAACCAAATAAGAGTTAATAAAAGAATAATAAAATAATAACAATAAAATAAGTTAAAGACATATATATATATATATATATATATATATATATATTAATCTGCAAAGGAGACATCCCAATACGATTTCGTCCCTTCATATGTTGCTAACAAAACTGCACAAGAGGGTACGATCTTTAATAAGCGGGGCCCCAGCCCCACCCTAAACCCTTTTAACCCTTGCTGCCTATACACCTCAATGCATGCAGCACGTAAACCCGCACTAATACCCCCACCCCCAAACAAACACCCATTAAACAAACCCCCACCAACAGGCCCCCTACCTGACAGGGGGCCCCCATTAAGGGGGCCCCCAAAGGGGGTACCCCTATTAGGGGGGCCCCCATTAAGGGGGCCCCCATTTGAGGGGCCCCCCAAAGGGGGGCCCCCACCCAGGGGCCCCCTACCTGAAGGGGGGCCCCCATTAAAGGGGCCCCCAAAGGGGGTACCCCTATTAGGGGGGCCCCCAAAAGGGGTGGTACCCCCATTTGAGGGGCCCCCAAACGGGGGGCCCCCATTAGAGGGGCCCCCAAAAGGGGGGCCCCCGTATGGGGGGCCCCCCTGTGTTTGATGTTTGTAAGTTATTCCTGCTGCTTGCATTTTAGTTTTAATAACATCAAATGGGTGCGTAAGAATGCATGCAACTGCAGCAGAGAAAGCCCCAGAAAGAAAGGGGACTAAGGCCCTATCGCGGAATTCCTGTGCGGCGCTGCGGCTGCTGCTGTTGCTGCTGCTGCTGCTGCTGCTGCTGCTGCTGCTGCTGCTGCTGCTGGTAGGAGAGGTAGACAGCAAGGAGGTGAGGGTTTTGCTGCTGACTTCAGTAAGCGGCCAGTACAAAGCAGAGAAAGGTGCATCTCTGATAATAGTAGGTAAGACCCCCTTAAACAAACCGCGAAGCCCTTCTACTTTTACTGTCTCCTGCATCAAAGATAAAGCAGCACTCCTCCTCCACCATCCCCTGCTGCTGCTGCTGCTGCTGCTGCTGCTGCTGCTGGGGGTGCAGCAGCGGGCCTGCAGCTGGGTTCGAACGAGCTCCATAGGGGCTGTGAAGAGAACAGCAACAGTGCGAGCAGCAACTCCTGCAGCAGCAGCAGCAGCAGCAGAGCCTTCGGGCTCTCTTCTCTCAAACAAAACAAAGAAAATTATATTTGCAGGGATCAGCACCCCCATTGCCGGCCCCACACCCCGCCAAAACACAAAGGGGCCCTTAAGATTATATAAACGAGCAGCAACTCCGAGACTCGTCACCCTCCCCCTGCTGCTGCTGCTGCTGCTGCTGCTGCTGCTGCTGCTGCTGGGGCTGCTGCTGTTGGTACTGGGGCTGCGGCTGGTCGTGCTGCTGCTGCTGCCGGGTGTCGCCGCCCCAGCAGGGCCAGCAGCAGCAGCAGCAGCATGAGCAGCAGCAGCAGCAGCAGCAGGAGTAGCAGCAGCAGCAGCAGCAGCAGCAGGAGTAGCAGCAGCAGCAACAGATGTATACTGCCAGTAGTTCTTCACAACATCAAAGGGAGTACAAAGTAAGGCTACGAGGCTGCCGCTAATTGCGCTGCTAACGCAAACCTGCTGCAAATCCATCTCCTATACAGCAGCAGCAGCAGCAGCAGCAGCAAATTCTTGCTGCTGCTGCTGATGCTCCGGATGCTGCTGCTGCTGCTGCTGCTGTGCACGGTGCGGTTGCACTCTAAAACAATCACCTCTATGCTTGTAATTCTGCTGCAGGAGCACCCCTCAGCTCCTCTTGCTGCTGATGCAGCAGCAGCTGCTGCTGCTGCACTGTTGCTGCTGCTGTGCTCTTGCTGCTCCTTACAGACCTTTTGCTGTGGCTTATCCTGCTGCTGCTGCTGCTGGTGCTGCTGCTGGGGCTGCCGGCTCCAGATGCTATAAAGAAGGCGTGCGGCCTCGTCTAAGGACCCTGCTGCCTCTGCTGCTGCTGCTGCAGTGTTGCTGCTGCAGTGTTGCTGCTGCAGTGTTGCTACTGCAGTGTTGCTGCTTCAGTATTGCTGCTGCGGTGTTGCTGCTGTAAAACAACAAGTATAAAAGCAAAGAAGACGAGGGTAAAAACAAACAAATTACTCTCCTGTTAAGAGCAGACAGACACAAAACCCGCGGGGCTTCGATAGGCTGCTGCTGCTGCTGCTGCTGCTGTCTCCTAGCAGCAGCAGCAGCAGCAGCAGCAGGTGGCCTTAGAAGATCTATAAAGTTGAAGGCGAATATGCGCAGGCTGCTCTTGGG